AATTCAAATTTTTGTTGCATGTTTTGGTAGATGTTATCTAATAACTGTACTATTTTCCAGGCGAGAGAAACAGGAACCTGCCCCGGTCCCCAAACTATGTCATGATTTCATCGGTCGCCGCCCTGACGACGGTCTCCACAACGCTCAATTCGTCAATAATTACCTCATTGGACTTGAACACCACCACCTCCAACTACCTGTACACACCCCCTTCCGTCGTCAACGACGTCCTCAACGGCAGCAACACCACCAACCTCACCGACCTCGCCTACCCGTACTTCCCCAGCTACATCCGCACCACTTCCATGGTTTTCTGCATCATCATCATGTGTTTAGGAGTCATCGGCAATGTCATGGTACCCATCGTCATCTTCAAGACGAAGGATATGAGGAACAGCACCAACATTTTCCTGGTGAACCTGAGCGTGGCTGATCTGATGGTGTTATTGGTGTGCACCCCCACAGTGCTGGTAGAGGTCAACTCCAAGCCCGAGACGTGGGTGCTGGGCAGGGAGATGTGTAAGTGCATGGATTTTTTCATTTTTGCGGTTTGTAGCTATAAATTTTCGCCTACCCTGCTGTCCCATCATCTATTTACCATCCTTTTGTTGCCTTCCTCGAACCTGCCTGAACGTCAAAGTCTTGGTCTACGGAGAGATTTTTCTCCATGCTTATCAAGGAGGTGCCTCCTAAGTTTACAGTGCACTGTCAGGATCCCCACCATTTGGTTTAGAGCCCTTGGAGCAAGGTTTAATAGCCAGTTATTTGGCCCATCTAAAAAGTTCTGGGCCTGCCTACACCTCCAATTCATTCCTAATCCTCGGTAGGTCTTTTTACGAGTGCTCCGTTGTTACTTATTTCTTCTGGTCCCTGGCAGGAATCCGGTCTCAAATCTTTTTTTTTTAATGCTAGCATTTCAAAATTCTGAAAGGCAGAAGACACAGACTGAAATTTTGGGATATTAAGCTGTTTCTGTTTCACATCTCATGTTAAAGGATCCTAATCCAGCCTAATCTTCCACTATATAACTTTTTAAATCCAATCGCAATATCAAATCGTAAACACAACAATTTAGACGATCCCATACACTAATTTTAGCAATTTTCCAACGTCAACTTACAAAGCACAAGCACCTATTGTTTTACCTAAATTGCTGAGATTTTACAAACAATGAATTTTGATTGGCCATAATAACCTAATGACAGTGTGGAATAAGCACATACCTATAAAACATAATAACCGATATTAGTAATTGTTCACCTTTTGGCTTATGATTTACCTACCTAGTGTTTTCTACGTGACTTTTACTGTCTATTCACAGGATTTAATTTAATTAAGATAAATATGCTTGTTTCAAAAGTGGGTGGAAACAAATCTGTTTTCAATTCCAAAAAAAAAAATCAGTGCAAGTAAAGAAAGTTGTCCTTCCTAAAAATAGCCGCCACATAACAATGTACTTCTCCGGCATTGTAGGTACCTATATATAGGAACCATGAAATTTTTCATGTCGACATAAATAATACTAGACGCCTTTTATTATTCGCGGCCGCTGCCGCACGGGTCTGAATTAAATTGGTTTACTTTCTTTCTGTCACTTACAAGCAAAACATCGGGAATGTACGCGACAAATTACAGATCATACGGTGTGACATCTAACATTCTCTTCAAAAGACAGGAGCTCGCGTTTTTCGAAGCATAATAGTTTTATAATTGACCGGTTCTAGTTATTTTTGCTAGATGTTTATTTTAGGAAAACAGCGTTGAGGAGATAAGGAGATAAATGGAGATATGAGAAAATATATGACGAAGGGTGGGTGGAAACAGGCTATTACAGTTATCAATGATTCTATAATAAAAACTTCGGAAGCGTTACAATTTCTTGATTCAAACAAAAGACTTACTGTCTAGCCTTATTGTCCTGAAATAACCATTTCAACCCTCTAGCTGCGTATTAGAAAATTCTAAAAATCACGAATTGAAAAGTAGGAGCATCGCATGTCAAGCCTACGACATACATTTAATTCTGTATAAGCATGAATCCGTTTTACACAGCAAATTTATTACTTGCCCTTATACCCTTGACGTTTACTGTAAGATGGATGTATATCTAAAAAACTTATATAAGAAATATAAAATAAACCAACGTCGGGCGGCGAGACGCTTTACGCGTCCTGAATATTGAAAAAACGTCTTCCTAAAGCAACCATTTCGGGATTTTTTAAAAACGGATAATAATTCTATTTAAACTACACTACGGCATGTTTTCATCAAGGATATGGCATAACAAATTAGGTTAAGTATTGTATATGGGTAACTGAAATTGTAATCTACTTTTATTCTTTATTTTTGTGTGTAGTACAATAATTCTCAGTTTTATAAAAAAAATATGGAAAACTGCAAAAGTTAAAAAGAGTTGTGGGCTCGTGCAGAATTCGAATCTGCGACCTCCACTTAGCTAAAAGCAACAGAGTGGTGCTCTAACCTACTGAGCTAACGAGCCTGTTGAATACAGTGGGTTGTTATTCTGGAAGCATCAGTCCTTATATGCAAATGAGATTTAATTCAATGGACCCGTTTCACAATTTTTGTTTTTGGGCCCAAAAGCTGTCTCTTTTGGCTAAATAGCATACAGTTTTTTTCCGGATTTTTTTGATCACGTTTAAGGGGTAAAAAAACACGATTTTTCGAAAAAAAAGTTAGGGAGATGACGTCACCTCCCTAATTTGAAACAGCAAATGAGAAATGACTAGAGTGAGATAGATGACTCCTTGGTTGCCAAATTCTGTTGATTTGTGAATTGTCAGTGTCAATAAACTGTTAACCTCAAACATTAAACGTTTAACATTTGAGATATGAGGTAACATAATCACTTGAAATGACAATGACAACAGATGACAGATGAGTTTTTTTAATTGGCAACGTTTTCTCTGTTGCTTGTTTGCCATTGGCTTATTTTTTGGCGCTAATTTTGAATTATTACAAAACTATTTTTATTTATAAAAAAATAACTAATTTGTCTACAAAGCAACTGATTCTCGTTATACGTAGCGTACTTGATGTAGAATGATATCCATATACAAAAACTGCAGGTTTCCGCCGAGTGAAACATGTCCATTTAAAAGGTGGTAGCAAAGATTTTTTAAATATTTTTTTCCTAGTGTTTTTTTAAATCTTTCTTCACACAGTTTCTGTTTGTCAGTTACCATGTAACAACCAAAGAACATTTGACATTTTGAAACATTTTGAAAAAACTTGATTAATCTCAGGTAGGTACTTATATTTTCAAAGTGTTAGTACTAATCTTATTGTAAGACATGGTATAACCGCATATAAGAGCGCCTTAAATATTTCCACGAGGAATTAACCGCAACAGCAATAAAGCTGTAAACGAGACTAATAAATAACCTAATTTATTTATATATTATTTAAATATCCTCAGATATGGCGATGAAACATTTATATAAGCAGCGAATTAGAAATGTTCCTATTTACGTTACCATAAACAAGTTTGTATTAATTAAGTAGTAGAGTGCCTTTAACATATTTATGATTTTGTAGCTATTTTCTTCAAATTGAACGATTTCATTTCTGCCCAGTTTAGAATTACTACAATTTTAATACGCAAACGAGTTCCAATTAAAATATTTGATGTCAACAATATCGTTCTCAGTAAGATGAAATTAGTTTCTGAATTTTTTTTAAATAATTCTATAAAATGGTGAATGCGCCAGTGTCCACAAGTTTCAAAAGATATTATTATACAAGAATATTACCAAAAATTACACAAATGCATACGACTTTACGTTATATTTGAGAATCTGCTACCCTTTTATACATAACAAAAAGCTATAAAACATACTGAAACTCCATAACCGTGACAAACTGCTCTTATCTGATCCGTGTATGCGAAGCCGGTAGCAGATTTTACGATGCAATTTTACGTTGTTCGGATCCGGGAGCGTTATCCACAGAAGAATATCAGTTTGAGAGAGTTTGTGATGGAAAATATCAACGAACAAGTCGCAGTAGTTGCAATTAATAAATTATATTTAAAAAAAAGCGTGAGCGCCTTAACGACTTTAAAAATTGTATTGGCTGCTATTGAAAGGAGTGCTTCGGTAAAAACCTTCCTTTTCAAGAAGAATACACTATTTATAATCACAATGAGCAATTATTGTAACTCTGTACAAGTAGTACAGCTAATAACTGGTGTTATAAAATTCAGCGTGTCGCGATGAGCGCATGTTGCAAGCCGTTTAAAAAGGAAGAAACATGGAGTTCAGAAACGGCGAATTTAAGATTATGTTTATAAAACTTGTTCTTTTCGCTGCTGCATGCGGTATGTGTAGTAATACTAATAAATATCTTCCGAAAGGTGGAAAGGTCGAGGTCTGTACCTATAGAAAACGGTAAAAGGTGCATTTGGATATTTTAAGAACAGGCAAAGTGTCCAGATTGACTATGTAGTATAGAAAGCGACAACATCTAGATGTAGATGTAGAGTTATTAAAAAACCCACACCTAGCTTGAAAAATGGCCAGCCGTCACCGATTTGAATTTAAATAGCCAACGCGGAATTGTTCACATCAATATGTAATGGATTTATACTATTTATAGAGTATTTCACCCAGCAAAACATAATAATAGCTCTCCAGTTGTCCGGGCATGATATATTAATACAGTTATTAAACCAACTGCTTTTAATACACAAAATATGAACACACGGCATAACTCACCGCGTCTGCTTTTGGCCGGCAACAAAAATTTCGTTTAATAGTCCCATTTTGATAGATACATGAAGAGTTATAGAAAACTAATCTTAGATTGTAAGTTGAGAGTAAAACAAACTTTATCGTTCGAAAAGTGTGTATTTTTATGTCCTTGAGGTTCTATCGCTATTTTCTCTTTAAAATGTCATAAATTTTCACTCTAAAAACTAGACAGAACTTCTGAAATTCTCTTCCAAGAAGTGTCTGCCCAGAACATGTCACGAGGCTCTAGCTGGACCTCCAGTACAAAATTTGTCGAAATGGAAAAGGTGAAACATGTTTTAGTCATGTATAGAATTATCATTTACGACTATGTATTTTAATTTCAGCCGTAGTTTCTGGCTCCTAGACTGCGTTTTGTATTACCATAATACTTCCATTTACATTCCAATAGATAGTGACGAAAGTCTGGTAAAAATTTGAAGCGATACGCTGCCGGTAAATATACAGTGCTTTTCTTTAATGTCCCCCCCCCTTCTATTTTTTGAAAGGATCAACTTAGAGGTTTGAAACTTGGTATCGGGTACTGAGTACATAAATACTATGTTTTAGTATAAAATTGACAGTTGAAAATTTCAAGATGGACGCTAGACGCCATTTTGAAATAAAAATTTAGGTGGAAAAGGGGGGTTTGTGATACCTCATTTTGAAGCTCTAAGTAAGTACTTTATAACCCTAGAATGTTAAGTCAATACCTTTACAAAATACATAATATGATAAAAAAATTTAACATGTATCCGCTCTGTATATGTTCCAACAGCAAGTAATTGTGTGGCCAAAATTATTAAGTGATAGATGCTTTATTTCCTTAAACTCAAGAAAATCTATTTTCTGTAAATTGTGTTTTATAAATCGTAAAAGTTGCTTGGGCCCTTATCGAACAGTTTTGACACTCAACCCCCTTGAGGCTTCCTGAACCCTAATTGGAATCCAGTCCCCACAAATTCTCCCCTTCCATACGTCACCTAATCACTATATAATAACACTCAAAAACCAACAATTAGTGCAAATACATGTTTATTTATTCTCAGATAAGGGGTCGCCGCAGTGAATTTCGTAATGAAGGGAAATTTACATTAACGTTTTCTCCTATTCGTAATTAAGGCCGAAGCCGATAAGGCTCGGTTTTCCTATCAATGTGGGTCGATACGAAAACGTTTAATTTCAGTTACATGCAGGTCAACTCAATTTTTTTTTCAAGTCGTAATCAACAGGTTGTTAAATATTCAACCCCCGTTCCTAGTACCGCTCTTTCGGATACATTTAAACAGCGTTTTTATTTACAATAATCCATCAAAATTCAACGTGCCTAATAACCCTTCACTTAAAGCTGCGATTGCATCTGATCAGGTATTCCACGTGTCGCACGTTTCCTGCATACGTATTAACTTGGAAGAATAATGTGAGTTATACACAGGAAATTACATGTTACTCCTAAGTGTATATACAGAGACGCCCACATGGTAGTAGATACAATGAGATTTGAAAAGTGAGGTGAATATGCATGTAACGTAGGTAGGACTTTTACAAGACAAGGGTGAAACAGAATCACATGAAAACTGAAAAAAGAAAAATCCTTTTAATTTGTGCTCGACATATAACCAAATGGATTGTAGTATCTCGGTCAATTAAACAATTCCCCTGTTTATATTAGAATTGTTTGCATTAAGTTTTAATCGAATACAATTCCTATTAACCCAGCAGCGTATTAGATTGATGAAAATGTGTTTACGAATCCAGAACCGTTGACAGCTTAACGAAAAATTGTTTAACAAACAAAATGTCCTCGAAAACGGAACGATCTTCCTGAAAATTATTTGTATAAGAAAATATATCAAACAGCCTTTCACCACTACATAGTGATGTTAAAAATAATTTAAAACGTCATAATGTACTACGTATACATGTATGTATTTTGGAGTTTACTGCTGTGCTTCCTCTGATTATCCTACAGCCGAGTTTCATCCCTTATCTGAATACATGGAAATAAATTTTGAAGCCACATACCTACCAACAGTTAATCTCAAACACTATAACGCCACCACAAGGGCATATCTGGTGCATAGATATGAACGAAATCACTACAGAATGATCTGTAAGTCATAGCAAGCGATTTAACTGTAAAATTATTCTGTTGTTTTCTATTTAAACAAATTTGTGAGTACCTACTGTTTCCCAGTGTAAAAATACCTAAGCCGTTTCCTATCTCATCTGACATTTCTAAAATACCTACAATTCATTCAAATATTGGAACAGTCAATCACTGGCCGAACCCATCCATCCATCGTCGTTGCTAATTCAATATTTATTTAATTCAATCCTCTCACGGGAGTTCATAAAATTCTCCTGAGACGAATCTCAGTTGGGATGGCTGACAACTATCTTATTTCAAATATTAATAGTGCAGCACCGCGACGGCCAGTTGTATATTATCATCGTCTCATGATTGCTTTGGATCTGTGCCAATCCGCGAAATTGCCATGGTACGACGGTCGGGAGTGTATAAAATGTAATTAAGTTTTCAAGTTATGTTTTGCTTGGATTATGACAAACAAACGCGAAAATACAAATTTAAAACGTTTCGTTTCGAAAACTATTTGTTCATCCACAGCTAATATTTTCTTAATGCTCATCACCACTGTGCGTCCTCGATAACCCATTTACCCACGTATCACTGCTTGCTAACTGAATTACCCTTAATCCTCCCGGCACACTATAACGACCTCCTTTA